TATATATATATATATTTAAAAAAAGTAAACATCTTGGTTGTAAGTTATTCAGGAGGAGATGCCACATAAGAAAATTAAAGTGTAAAAAAAGAATTTTAGAAGATTTTTTGGCCTTTAAAAAAATCTGATAAAAGCATCCCGGCTCTTTAAGTGCAGCCTTGCAGATGCGCTAACTTCTGACTCGTCATATTCTTCAGCTGACAAGTGGGAATTAAGACCTCTTTAAAAACGGAGCTGCCAGTTCAATCACCAGCGGATCAGCTCGCCTTCCGAAACTGCCGGAAACTTGCTTATCTTAAAGAAAGGAAAAGTTTTTCGAAGAGAGAAAGGACGTGTCAAGCTGGCTTCCAGGAAGCGATTACACCGATTCCCACCTTCTCTTTCTTGTTACTTCACACACACACAAAAATAAAAAAGCTGCCCCCCCCCCCCACGCAAACATCAAAACAAGCACAGAATGTCTGAAAAGCATAAAGACATTTGTATAAGCTGCATGACTGTCCCCCTCGTCTCCGTGTGTGTGGGTGTGTGTCACTATTGGCTGTCAACTTTCTTGTTTTGTTCACATTTTTCTCCTCTGAAGGTTTTTGTTGTAATAAATAACCACTTGATGTTTATTTCAGCATCGCAGTGTGGCTTTAGTAGCTGTTTTGTGCTGTGCATTTTCCTGGTTTTTCACTGTCTGTCAGTGTCTAGACAGACGAGAGACACTTATAAGAGAGCAGCTAGACAGATGAAAAGCTSAAACACACACAGAAACGGGTCAACTTCTCACCACTGACCCAGGCAGCCTGGAGAAGAGGTCAGAAGTCGCCACGGATGCAGCAGCAACCTCACTCTGCGTTTTCTCCTCCTTTCTGCAGTGATGAACTTTCTCCAGACTCAACTATGGGGAAGGAAGGGATGGGAGGTGAGGGGGAGCTGCAGGGTGAGACCCAGTCACAGCCAGAGCCAGAGCCAGAGCCAGAACCAGAGCCACAACTGCAGGCCCACCAGCAGCAACAGCAGCAGGAAGCGATTCAGCCACAAAGACTGCCTCAATCTGAGCCTGAACCGCAGATTCAGCTTCAGAAGGAGCCCGAAGTCAAAGCTTGGTCAGAACCTGAACCTGAGCCAGAGCCGGAGCCGGAGCCGGAGCCGGAGCCTCAACCAGAACACGAACCCGAAGCAGAGGTTGCGAGAGAGGCAGCGGTGCCGCCGCCGGACGCCCCCCAAGCCCCGTCACCTCGCAGAGAGGAGCAGACGGATGGGGAGCGAGACTTTCCGAAGCCAGAGGAGGTTGTCGAAGCGAGGGCAAAGCAACACGGGGACGAGGCGCCGGGTGAGAGCGGCAAGGCCAAGGCGGCGCAGGAGGAAGAGGACGAGGACGAGGGCGGAGCCAAGGGTGGCGGTGCGGCGAGGAGAGCCAGCCTGCATCACACGGCCTCGCCCCTCAGGGTGCAGCGCAACGGCGCCGGCTCGCACTCCGCCTCTTCTGACTATGAGCTCTCGCTTGACCTCAAAAACAAGCAGGTAGGGTGACCTCTGGGAATGGGGGAGGGGGCGGGGTCGGTGTGCTGTTTGTGCGAGAGGAGAGGAGGGGAGGAGGAGAGGAGAGGAGGAGAGCCGAGGATGCAGAAAGTTGTCTGTATTGTACCTTTTTGTTGTTTGTGGTGTGGTTCCGTTTCTGCCTGAGGAAGATGGAATCTGATTCGTTGGGCGCCTGATGTGATTGTGTCAATTGGTCTTATTGGTCCCTAAAGGCTCTGGTGGACAATCAAAACTGTATTTAATTCTTGTTTTCATTGTCATAAACCAACATTCTCATAACCATGTCATCACTTGTTTTCCAATTTCAAACATGAAAGCTGCTTTTATTTTTTTATTTATTTTTTTATATAGAAATTATTAGAAAGCAAAACGAGGCAGGATGTGCTAGTTTGGTGTGGGATGCATGCATGCACACACTGTGGGGTTCACTAGTTTGTCTTTTTTTTTTTTCAAATTTCCTCTGATGATTGAAACCCAGTGGTTGTACACAGAACAAGAGCATGMAGCTGGTAAATGTACTCATCTTGTTAAAGCAGCTGGGTTTTATCCAGAGCTGGTTTTATGTCTGTGAGACGCAAATGTTTTTGTACATGACTTGTCATGTTCACACGTTTGTCACTTAAATTGTGCTTTCCATCACTCAGAAATCATCCTCATGCCATCTTCATTTCAAGACCCATTAAGCATTCACCATCTGTTTCTATCAGCATCCATCTAAACGTCACACTTCTGTCCTTGGATCAGCGAGCAGGTAAGGCGGGCCTAACTTTCAGGCCCTGACATGTAGAATAAGTTGGATTTTACAGCTGCAGAACAGTATTAAAACAGTCTTTTAAAAAAATGTATTTTTCTTTAAGAATTCCTCACATTTATATAGAGTAGCTACAATACCAATAAGATTTTAAGCACAAATCCCCACTTTTATAGACTGGATCCTTTAAAAATATTTAACAAAGTAAAGGGATTCTTGTTGAACAAAACACTTTCTGAAAAAAATATGAAAATATAAACGAAGGAATAATTACCCACTACTTTTAGAATAGAATATAATAGAATAGAATAGAAATAGCTTTTATTGTCAATCATCAGAAATTGCAATAAATTCAGGTGTCACAGCAGCATCAGTGCAAAGATTCACAGACTACAAATTATCGATAGTACACACAAAATGAAATTAACACTTACTAGCCATACAA